TGACCTAGTCCAGGGGTAGGCAACCTTGGCTCTTTTATGACTTATGGACTTCAACTCCCAGAATTCCTAAGCCAGCCAAGGTTGCCTATCCCTGACCTAGTCCAACAACTCTCAGGCAGTTGAAGCAAGAAAGCATTGCCCAATTTCACCACCTCTAGGGCACTGTGGGAAGTAGAAAAGCTACGCAAATGTTAAAGAGACGAGGAACACATTTCTTTGCCTTAGTGCTTGACCTCAGCATTGCGACAACTTGAAGACACTTTCAAGTTCCTCGCTAAGGCTCCTGGGCAAAGTCTTTCTGGAAGAGAGCTTGTTTAGTCAAGAAGAGGGAGCCCCAGCATCGCATCACAGCCACGGGTGCCAATCCGCTCTCCTTGTCGTCTGCCTCTTGCACGGGCAATTGCAAATTTCTCCAGCAGCAAAGAGATGAATGGAAGGAGGCAGCGCTTCCCAAAGGCAGCCTGCTGTAAAGAGGCTTTCCCCAGAAATCGGCTGCAAGTCAAGCAAGCGGCCGAGCAGGAGACTTCCCTCCCTCTCTCCCTCCCCGGATGCACCTTGAGTAAATCCAGGGGGTGCGTGCAGCACGCAGCCCCGCAAGAGGCCAGGCCCCCAAAGTACTAGCGGGATACGCGTTTCTCCGCTATCCTGCCAGCGATACGTGCGTTCGCTGATCCCTCCCCTCCGCCTTTGGGATCCGGCAGCCCAGCCTCCGCTCCACACCCAACCAAGAAACGAGGCGGCCTTAAACGAGCAATGCCGACAGCGACGGAGAAGGAATGCTTAAAAGAGCAACCATGAGGCCAAAGGTGCGCAGCTGCAGTAGGGGCCATATGTTTCCTGGGGTTATATTGGTTCCTGGCCGGGCTTCTCTTTCGCGGAGGGAGTTGCACTTCCGGGATTATTGTCATTAAAGTCTAAGAAGGCAACTCCGAAAACGTTTTGACGGAACCGCGAAACTCATTTTGCTCATGCACATTTGTAAGACTGCCGCCTAAAACTATTTTGTGACGTTATTAGATATAGATTAAGCCGGTGTCGACTTTTAGTGATTGCATAGATTTCCCCCCCCCCCCCAAAAAAAGAACTACGGTACTCACTTTCCTCAGTTCTCAAGACGCTGACTCGAGTATAAGCCGAGGGGGGCATTTTTCAGCACAAAAAATGTGCTGAAAAACTCGGCTTATACTCGAGTATATACGGTATCTAAATATAGTTTTCCATTTAAGATACATTAATAATGTAGTTTAATGGACCTTAGTTATTTGGCATGAGGCTGTATATTCTGCAATATTTACATTGTTGGTAAACTCATTCAATGAATTCAAGCTCTGCAAGCTGAGATAACATGCACTGCATTGATACATTCACACAGAATTAGAATTAGAAGAATTAATAATAAAGTTGGAAGAGACCTTGAAGGTCATCGAGTCCAACCCCTTGCCTAGGCAGCAAACCCTACATGATAGCAGTGTTCTAATATCTCAGAGGCTGCCACAAAGAAGAGGGAGTCAAGCTATTTTCCAAAGCGCCTGAATGCAGGATAAGAAGCAACGGGTGGAAACTAATCAAGGAGAGAAGCAACCTAGAACTAAGGAAAAACTTCCTGACAGTTAGAACAATTAACCAGTGGAACAACCTGCCTCCAGAAGCTGTGAATGCTCCAACACTGGAAGTTTTTAAGAAGAGACTGGACAGCTATTTGTCTGAAATGGTATAGGGTTTCCTGCCTGAGCAGGGGGTTGGACTAGATGGCCTCCAAGGTCCCTTCCAACTTTATTATTATTGTTGTTGTTGTTACTATTACTACTACTACTACTTTGAACAAATGGCTGTCCAGTCTCTTTTTAAAAACTTCCAGTGTTGGAGCATTCACAGCTTAGGGAGGCAGGTTGTTCCACTGGTTAATTGTTCTAACTGTCAGGAAGTTTCTTAGTTCTAGGTTGCTTCTCTCCTTGATTAGTTTCCATCCGTTGCTTCTTGCCCCGTCCTACAACAGGGGTGTCAAACTTCCAGCCCGTGGGCCGGATGCATCCTAGCGAAGCTGTGCCCCCCCCATTGCCGCCAATGGCAAAAAAGTCACTACTCGTCAAATTTGTAGTTTTTATTCTGATAAAATTTCTTGCATATTCTTACTCAAAGAGGCCACGTTCCTATGATTTTCCAGCATGACTTCCCGATACAATGCTTTTTGGTCGGCATCCAGCAGAGACCACTCCTCCTTGGAGAAATACACAGCCACCTCCTTAAAGGACACAAGACCCTCCTGAATGAGAAGAAAACAGAATAAAAATCAGGAGGATTTTCAAAATCTGCCCTATTATTTAAGCGATTCCAAGCAAAGACATACATTTCAGGCCATTCAGTAAAAGCAATCCCACTTTTCATCTGGGTCTGTTTGTCTGTCTATCCATCCATCCCCATCCATCAGCAAGACTTTCAGCATCTGGAGAGCATCAACTGGTATGTGACTTGGAATCCCCACCTGTCACTCATTCCAATCAAACCAGTGTTTGCAGAAGAAAATGAGGGGATGGTGATGATGGTTCTTTTTTACAATTTAAGTAAAAGGCTTATGATGTCCCCAGAGCAAACAATACTATCCATGCCCAAAACCTTCATTAAAGTTGTTTGAGAGGCACCCAGGGATTTACATGGCTGTTATCACTAGATAAAGACACACAAGCCCTGTTTCTACTGCTCCTCAGATTACAAGGAATCCACTGCTTGTACTCCAACTCAATGGTTGAAGAAAAGAAACCTGCTTGGGAAGATTATTTCTGATCCTTTACAAAGCTGGATTGCTTGGCCCCAAATTCCAGGCACAAATCAAAGTATTAGAAATTCCTCTAAAGGCTGAAGGACAACCTGCCTCCAGAAGTTGCGAATGCTCCAACACTGGAAGTTTTTAAGTTTTTAAGAACAGACTGGACAGCCATTTGTCTGCAATGATATAGGGTTTCCTGCCTGAGCAGGGGGTTGGACTACTAGATGACCTCCAATCTCCCTTGCAACATCATCATCACTATCATCATCATCATCATCATCATCAATAATAATAATAATAATAATAATAATGGTTTTTCTTTCCAACATGCCACCAGGTACTAAGTCATGTTTTGCGAAGGGGTCAAATACTTCTTTCACTCATTAAAATGCAAATCAAAGTATAACTTTTTTGAAATGCATTTTTCTGGATTTTTTTGTTGTTATTCTGTCTCATTGTTAAAATAAACGTACCATTAAAATTATAGACTGATCATTTCTTTGTCAGTGGGCAAATAATACAAAATCAGCAGGGGATCAAATGCTTTTTTCTCTCACTGTACCCTACATTTACAGTTCATAAAGATGCCAGAAGTCAAGGAGCTTAAGAAACTGGAATGGAATAAAACATTTTGACACCTGTTCCTTGTACTTCATGTTATTTAGTCATTAGACATTCATTAAGGATGTTCCATACTCTTGTTTTTAATTTTGTATGGTTGTAAATAACTGAAGCCATAGAGAAGAGAGAAGGAGAAAGTTCCAAAAATGGCTTATCCCAAGAAAGAAAGGTTTACCTTTTATTATTATTATTATTATTATTATTATTATTATAATAATAATAATAATAATAATAATGAAAAAGGAAGAAGACCCCTAACATGGAATAATACTGAGTGAAATGATCCTGGGAAGGAATAACATTCTAACGATGCCATGGAGGTTGTGTTCACATCAAATGAAAGGACTGTTTTTCAGTGCTTGCTTTTTGGGAACAAAGTCATACTATAACACAAAGGCTGCTTCACACAAATTGCCCTGACCCCAAACTGGTTAACCAACAATAAAGGCAAAGTTCACATGAAACATACCTTAAAATGTTGTTTACCCATCCTCTTAACCCTGGAGGATCTAATCGTAGTTATTCTTTGTCTCCAGAAGAAGCAGGAAAGATTTGCAGCTTACAAATCCAAAATGGAAAACCAAAGAAAGTACCAGGAAAACAGGATGTCTAATTCAATTAGCGAAAATCCTTCCCTAAAGAAAAAATAACAAGAAAATCTTATGTATCCAATACTGTCAGGGAAGAAAGTGGGGAATCCTATTAGGTACTTTAACTTCTCTGCAGGTGGGGCATATTCTGACAAATCCTTTGTGGGAAGTCAGCCCCCCAGAGAAGGAAATATTAAAAGGGCAGAAAAATATATTTCCTCAAAAGGATTTTAAAAGCAGAAACCAACCCTGCCCCCAAGTCTCTGTCCCAAGCAGAAGCCAGCTCTATACAAATGCAAATGTAAGCTATCAGGAAAGTTGGAGCTAGAA